AAGTGGTTATGACAACTGTTCTGACATGACTCTTTTCCTTTATGTAAATTGTATGGTTAAGTGTTTTTTATAAGGTTAATATTTTAATTTTGTTAAACTTTGATAACTTTGGGACATTTCATTTGGCTTTGATTTTACACTTTCAGAAGCTGAGTAACTCTCCATGCATTCACTCATTACCTCCACCAAACCACCTATGCCCATACCCGGAGCTGCTTTTCTCCTCTACCCATCCCCCCTTTCTCCTGTTCTCTCTGGTAACCATTATCTTCTTTTTTTGCCAAGTTCAAATTTTTATTTCTTCTAGTGTTTGTGTGTAACTGTTCTCTGAAGTATTTATATTCTGCAAGAGTAAAACCATCTGAAATCTTTTACTTTTTGTCAGATTTCACTCAACATAATCACCCTGAGGTTCCAAAACACTAAAAATAGATTCATAAAAGCCAAATAAACTGGGATTTAGTGAGCATTATAAAAAGGTTAATGTTTCTAATGTATTATGAGTCATATCCATCAAAATCTTAAAAACTAAGTTTCTTCTAGAAAGTACAAGAATAAAGAGCTCAAAGAAAAGAAATGCAAAGTAATAATATATTCACCTTTATTCTAGGATAGTTCCCTATTCTGCATCTCCCTCTGCCAACTCAAATGCACCTGTGCACTCCTACATGAGGTCTCCCTTCTCTGCTTCGTTTCCTACCATCCATTTATAAAACCAGTGTACTTACAGCAGAGTACATTCATGGAACGGTACCCACACCAGATTGTAAACACTTCAAGGCCAATTAAATAGAGGTATGCGTTTCCCAGAACTCAGCTCGGCTACAGTGTGTCAGAGAAATAAATACTCCTTTTGACTGTTGCTCAGTCTCTACTGAGTATCTATCTTTTGCCATGAGTAACAGAAACTGAGTTAGAGATTCAGCACAAGAGCAGAGTGCACTACTGCAGCAGAGGCCTTATGGTCCCTCCCTCATTCACAGAGAGACTGTATCTAGCTGGCTCAGTAAGAGAGTAAAAAGAAAAGAATCATTCTCACAATAGTCTGGGTTTCCACTAGAAATTATAAATCTACTTCCCCCTCAATTTAAGGCAATCTAACTCAGCTGTCAGTGCATTTAGCCCTTATGGGAATCCCTAAGTTCATCATCACCCGATTTATTTCTAGAGTATACAATTCCTTCTCCCCTAATCTTTACTGAAACCCTGTAGCTGGAACACAGCAAAGGCCTCTGCTCAGGGCCTGGTCAGAAGCCCCGGTTGCAGGCTCCCTATGACTTAAATGAAAGGCAGAAGCAGCACACAGGAACTCATTCTTGGTCATATGGATGACTGGGGAAAGGCCTGCTCCTGCTCAGCCAGCTGTTTCCCTGCAGTAGGGGACAGTCCAAATGCTAACAGGCACTCCCATGGATGAGCCTGTGGGCGCAGAGAGCTCAGAGCTAAATGGGTGGATGAAAAGAAGGCAGGACAGAAAGTGGGAGGAACCCTGGGTGGGCCTTGCGGGTGCAGAAAAAGACAAAGGCTCAGCAGGCCGTGCTCCCTCTGCTGCCCTCCTGAGGCATAGTGTGTGCAAGCTCAGCTCTGCTGCGGCAGTTCTGAGTTCTGAGCTTAAGGCTGCAGTCCGGGTGGGGGCAGACCGAGGAGGAAAAGTCTTCATGTTTGCTGCTTTATATCCTAGTCCCAGGACGCAGCAGGGGCCCTCAGTAAACCTGGAAAACTCCGGGCACTGGACCGATTCCCCGCAGTTCAGTCTCACGGAGGCGTACAAAATCAATCAAGGGGAATGGCAACCCGACCTGATCAAATACTCTGTTTATTAACAGACAACAGAAGTCCTTATACTGGAAGTTTCAAAATGGTTTTGAAAACCTGCGCTTGGGCTCTAGCTCCAGCCCCAGAGGCTGCACAGAACTGCTGGCCTGACCTGCTTCTTAAACGTGCTGCTGGGTACAGCAGGACACAACTGGACACCAAAGGGCATCACACTCTTCCTTCTCTCCCGATTCCCGATTCTGAACCTCACCAGAAAGAAGTGTCTGAAAGGACATGGGGGTAGGTCTGTAGGGGTCCTGGGGGGGAGGGGTGGCATGTGGCGCTAGGCACATCTGCCCTGAGGGAGTATTCCCTGTGCCCAGCACACTGGCAGTTCAAGCCCCTGGCAGAGGCCTGCTTCTGCAACTAAAGGAGTGTGGCCTTTCTCTTAGGGAAAGTATCCTCCTCCAAGTCTGTTTTTTCTATCTGTAGATAAGGCAAGTAAGGATTGGCATGAGAATCAGATGAATAAATACAGAATATTTAAATTAAAACTACCTGGTTAACCTAAAATGATGTCTGAAAGCAGGGAGCTGGGTGGGCAGTCAGGGGGAAAGACATGTGTCCTTTTCAGTTGTCCAGGTGGTACTCAATGCCAGCCTCAGTTTCCCTCAGCCAATAAAAGGAAACAGAGTTTGAGGAAAAGGAAAGTGGTTTCATTTATTACAAATTTGGAGCAACAGACTCATTTACTACAAATGAGGAGCAAAGACCACCATCCTGCTGTTTACCAGGGTACAATGTTATATATACAAAGGGAAAATAAAGGGCAGGGGGCATGGGCAGGGGCCTGCAAAGTGGGGAGGGGTAGGGGTTGGCACAGAGATGAATGGGTGCCAGCTTGCTTTTTACAACTGTTTAACTCCTTTTTCCTTGGGCTGCAAGAAGACAAACCTGTCAAACAAGGGGGAGACTGCAAGAAATAGGGGAAAGAAAAACTTGTTAATGCTCATCTGAGAGACCAGTCATTTGTAACTGCATCACCGTCAACACTAACCTCATCCCAGTGAGCCCTAAACACAGACCAAACTGTCCCCAAACAAAACAGCCAGGAGCCGCAGACATGCCACAGCAGCCAACCGTGCTGCAGACTCAAATGCACAGGTGCTGTTTAAAGGCTTCACACTCAGTAACTTGTTTCCTTCTCACCCTGAGACGTTCCCCCCTGCCACCACCACCATGGCAGGTAGGGACAGGTACAGAGAGGTCAGGCAACACGCCCAAGGGCACAGGGAACTGGCATCTGAGACCAAGTGCCCCACGGTGCCACGGAGTACGCAAGTTTTCGGTGAGTTTAGACTAGTGATGTAAACACTCTCAAACCATCTCAAAAGTGGATGGGCACTCAGCTCACTGCAGCAGTAACCCAGTTGACCTTGGCCACAAATGCCCACCCTGCGCCTCAAAGGAGCCGCTGGCATTGTCACCTCTATTACCTCAATGCAGATCCATCCCAGGAGGTACCTTGGAGAACTTTAAAATACTCCAAATAAACAACAGAAAAGGGTTATTATGGCACATTAAAAACCGAGCTGAGAAGCCAGCTTGAAAGGGAAATCGTAGGTTAGCTCCACACTGACCTTTTTAGCTTTGCCCCTCACAAAAACTGAGCTATTGGGGGCTAATTGCCAGTTTCCTGAAGAGTTCTGCTTTTCTAGGTAGATCACTTCTGATGTGGTTTCCTCTAATTTAGGGGAGGAAATACTAACTTCAACTTCACTTGAAGTATTCTCACAAGGTCTTGGTAAGGGAGGAGGTGTATATAGGTTGTATGAGCGTCCAGAGCTGCAGGTTGAAAGGTCCAGGACCCAGAATTACATCGCTTCAAGATCATCTAGATGTGCATTCAGGTGCTTGCAAGATGCACGTATCATTGGAGAGAGGACATCAAGATGACACTTGGGCTAGTGTGAGGTCGTAGTGTGAACATCACTGGGCTATTGTGAACCCCACAGGGCTGGGTTCAAATGCCTAGGTGAGTCCTCCTGGGCCAGGGTAGGTTCAGATACTTGGAGAAATCCTCCCAGGCTAGTGTGGGCTCCATGCCCAGGGCAGCTCCACTTGGGCCAGGGTAGGTTAAGATACCTAGTGTGGACTCCTGCACCTGGGGGAGCCCCAGTGGACCAGGGTAGGGTCATAATATGAATGCCCACTGAGCTAGCAGGGCTTTCCCACCTGGGCCAGGATGGATTCAAATGTTTTGATGACCCCCCAATGGCCTAGTGGGATTGTTCAGGGGCACTCAGTTTGGGTTAGGGGGGGTTCCTATGTTGCCACAGACCCCCCCCACTGGTTGAGCATGGGTTCTCATGCAGAGAGAACCCCTTTGGGGCCAGGGTTTGTTCATAATATGAAACCCCACAGACTAATGTGGGCTCCTGTGCTAAGGGGAACCCCATTTTGTCCAGAATGGCTTCATAATTCCACATGAACTCTGTTGGGCTAGTGTGGATTCCTGTGCCTAGGGGATACCCCTTTGGGGCAGAGTGGGTTCATGAGTCCTACTGGGGCAAATGAGATTTCATGAAATGCACCTCACTGGGGCTAGTGTGGGGTCCTGAAATGTACCTCACCAGAGCAAGAGTGGGGCTCACAAGCCTTGGGTGAGTACTACTGGGCTATCAATCTCTGAGTGGTAGCTACCTTGGTCAAGCAGGTCTGTAGGCAATTCCAGACCTAAAAGAATTTAACACTACTTTTACAAACTCCAAGGAAAGCATATACCTAAAAATAGGATCTCATCTTCCTCCAAGTCTGTGTTCAAATCATTGCTATGGCTTGAAGGATTTTTTTTTAGATATGTGAGTTAATGGTTTCCTGTCCACTATGTCCACTTGCTCCTTAAACCCTGCGGAGATGAGCTTGCCCAGTCCCAACAATAACTCCTTGCTTGCCTCTATAAATCCAGGAAAAACGGGACAGTAGCACTTGCTATGGTATTCCTCTTGGGGGGAAGGAGCAAGTGGTGAAAACTACCAAGTTCAGTTTAGGCACAATTAAAGCAAATCCTAATAGCAGGGATAGCCAATTAGCCACCTCACTGATTACTCTATTTACAGGTATAAGTGAAACCTGTAACTTTTCAGGTGATAGTTTGAATGTAGGTCTCAATACAAGAATGTGTGGAGTGACTGGTCCATCTTTATTTTATGAAATATGTGATACAAAATTAAAAAATACTCATGGAAACATAAAGCATTTGTTTATTATTGCTATAATCAAGGCAAAATCTCTTAAAACAATTGGCCTTGATGATGGAAGTATAATCAGAATTCATGAATTTATACAGTTTGTTGTTCTCTACCGTCAGACCATACCATTTCACACACACATCATCCACCACAGACCTTTATTACACAAGTGGAAGAAGGATGAACGTGAAAGTCACAAAGATGGCTTACTTACTCCCCTAGTTACCCATTTAGACTACTCACTCACTGTGAACCTGTTCCACTCTGGGTTTAAAAAAAACAATGTGACAGGGGAGGAGGGACTGGAAGATCTCCCCATGGAGGGTCAAGTGAGATAACCTAGGTGATAACTGAGAGACATAAATGAAATTGCCCTGTAAACTTGAAAAATTATACAAAATACAGACTTATTAGTAACAGTGCTTAAAACCCCCGTTAGAAGGGGTAGGAGTCATCACTACAGTCTACATACGTGGCAGCCTGCATGACAGTCACCAAGAGTAAATCCTGGGGCAAGATAAAAGATATTAATGACCAAACCTCCAAATTCACTGAGGCAGGACCTGGCTTCGACCCAGTTTCACCCTAGAAACACTTTTACAGTTTTATTTTACCTTAATATACATCTGTACAGGCAATAATAAAAAGGCTATTACACAACAATTTGGTGAGTTTTACCTAGTTTCAAGAATAATGCATGCAGTTACAAATGAGAGGTAGAAACACTGTATTAAAGACCTAAAAATACAAACCTCATATAAATAAACGTTCAAATTAACTGCTGGAATTTCATACAGATAAATAAGGTAAAAATTACATTACTTTGTCAAAGTAAAGGAAAATCATGTTTTTGCTTGTTTTTATCAGTACACTAAATTATATTAATGACAAAGAGCTTCTGTGCAATTTGTCAGTTCATATTATAGTATCTAAAAGGATTAAAACTGGGGAATGTTTTATTCAAGTATTTAAGCAGCTAAGTAAAAGAACCAAATAATATATCATGTAGGAACTATTTCTGGAGGGATGTTAACTGCCTGCATTCTCCATGACTATTAGGTGAACTGTCAGGCTTAACATGAGAATACATGTGAGGCTGGAGAGGGCTGCCCGTTTTCTTAGGAGAACACAAACCTCATTTTTTACTAACTTCATGTAGAAACGCCGTATCACTAATAAGTCTTTAAATCATCAACGTTGTTTTGGCCCTAATAAATCCTGGAGAGTATCTCTTGACTGATAATTTTTCTAATACTGCCCAAAGAAACCTAGCCTTTAATAAACCTAGAGGTTACAGGCATCAATGCACATTCTGCATGCACAATAAAAAAAAATGCAAATGCAACCAAAAGCAACAATCAGCAACTCAAAATATCACTGAGAGAATCTGTAGGTGTAGATGAATTTAAAAAATGCAAAGGTTCACGGAAACACAAGTTTTTATCATTTAAAAGTCCACTAGAGATTACATGTGAATTCTGGAAAGGGTATATGTAGAGAATCAAGTAAAATATTTTAAACAAGTCCATTGTGCCTCAGTTAGCTTTAAATTGTAAATTCAATACACAGTTATAATAAATTAGTGCAATATGAAAGATTTTGGAAGATTAATGTATGTCCATATGAGATCAAACTGAAGATTTCACAATTTCCTCTAAAAGTCATCTTTAGCTTCTTAAGCTATTTCTTCCTGAGCTGTTTAAGGATGCATGCTCAGATTTCGATAAACTTACCCAAATGTCAAACTGCCTGGATGAGATGTAAAATTTTTTATTTTTATTTCAGCAAACACGTGGGATTTCACACATTGCTCTGGTAACCTGAGTGAAGAGCCACTCACTTTGCTTCATTCTTAACTATCCTTAAGAATAAAGGTACTGTTGATTATAGTTCTAAGGTACATATATTTACCACGTTCAAATTGAGAGGCAAGTGGGATATTCTTGCTTCTGCTTCTACAAAGAAAGAGGGCAGAGGTGACTTCTCCAATAAGGCAGATTTCCTACAAATATGTAGTTTTTAAAATTGTCTTTCCTTTTTGAAATCACTGCTTGTTCTTTGGTAGTCACCAGTTAAGAAACTAGTTTCCTGGAGATGGGGCAACAGAATCCAAGCCGTAATCCCAAGCACGTCACCTCACATCCCACCACTGGTCCATGATTCACACCTGCTGCTGCTCACATGGTCGAAGAGGTGCTATAGCAGAGTGCAGACAATCTTCTTTCAATACTAGACTTATCTAGAAATAAATTTGTAATAAGAGCATTTATATTTTCAAAACCAAGAAAAGAAGTAATACTGAACAAAAAAAAATCACTACCTACACATCTATCTTTCCCCCAAAGTTAATAGTTCTGAATTCTTTTTCTTTCTTCTGCTTGGTAGGTCTAGATATGATTTCTAGTTTAGGGTTGCACAGTCCACCACCTCCTCAAAACCTGTATTTGGTAAGCGATGTCTATGTACCTAGGGTCTTCACAGGATTCTTCAGTCACTAAGCCCATAGACTTAAAATAGTTGTATTTAATAATAAAGTTCTTTTACACATATGAACACAGCACATCTGCCAACACCGTAACGTAGTGTGAAAATTTAAAGACCTTGACAAAAGCTATCAGTATATTTTTATAAACTATCTATAATGCTCACAACACCCCTAACAACTGGACATTGTTTACTCATTTTTGAGAAGATATCAATACTACAGAAAGGGTAAAGGATATGCTCAAATCTGAAAAGTCAAGATTCATATCCAGAAAGTATGATTCCAAACTCCAAGTTCTTCCCACTCTACCTGTAGGAGACAACTAAATTGCAATAAATAATCATACTATTTTGTAAGTCAACTTACATTTATGTACATTTTCAATATCTGCAGGGTCCTGGAGAATCTTAGTGAGGCCTTCCAAAAGAAGGGCTGCCTTATGATAACGATAAACTATATCTTCAGTCTGCTGAAACATCTCATCCAGTGCTGCAGATTGAACCTGGAGACAGTCAAAATAAATATAAAAATTCTCAATGTTTCTGAGAAAACAAAAATCCATTTGGGTAATACAACTTTAAAATAGGACTTATCTAAAATTAAGATGTTTTGATGAATCTACAAAGTTACATAAACCAAAGATTCATCAGGATGAGAGATATTAACAAGGAGCTTCTTGACAAGAGTCATTCTGCATTCAGATACAGACACTTTGCACCCAGAAATTCGTGACTCATCAACTTTGTACTTTCTAAATTAGTTTTTCTAAAAGCTAACTTTACTGAGTGTTTACACATATGCTTTCATATTGGCAATTCATTAAAGTGCTATAATTAAATAATGAAATGATGTTAAAAGTAACTTACAAAACTGCTAAACATGGAGCTTCCCTATGACCCAGCAATCCCACTCCTAGGTATCTACCCAAAAGACACAAAAACACTGATTGAAAAAGATACTTG